TGTTTTTAGACGACTTCATAAAGGGTTATCTTTTCTTGTAGGGTATTTAAACTGTATATTTGGGCTATAGATTATAAAAGTTATTATATTGTATGCTTGTTTTTAGCTAATTATTCAGTGCATAAATTTGATGATGTCGGCAAAAAACCGTTATATATATATATATATATATATATATATATATATATATATAACAGTTGAAATGGTATTACAAAAATGTATCATTTCTTTTCTGCGGAAAAGAAATATTTCTTGGTAATCCAATTATTTCTACTGCAAATATTTTAATTACTTTCAGTCAAAAAGAAAGAAGCTATCTAGAGGCCGAGGTAAACGCATAATTTATAGCTTGACTTCAAACCTCGTTTGCATATATATTCTTACGCAAACGAGATATCCTCGCTCTATGACACACACTCATATATACCTACATGCATACATGTGCGCCATTTATACGATATTTCCATCTGCGCGTCATCACATGTTTGTTTAAAATGCATATGTCAGAGTACAGTAATAAAAGTGAAAAATAAAAAAAGATAAATTTAGAAAGGTCACAGATTCACGAAAGCAAGGGTCGTGGATAACAAAGGTAAGATTATAATCCTGGTTCGCCGCCATATGTTCGGCGAATCAAATAAGATCTCATCGAATCTCGTGAGAACTGTTCGTCGATTAGAGAGAAACATTTCGCCATATGTACACCCTTCACATATATTATTATGCAGGTTGCGATGGGTAAATTATCGCCATTTTTTTATCGCATTTCACGCATGCGCGCGTTGTTTGTTTTTTGACTTTCTCGACTGCACAGTATAGTAGGATGAGTTGGGCGCCGTCTGTAAGAAAAAAAGAGCACCATGACACAATTCACTCCGCTAGAAATTTGAAAATGACATGCAATACTGCTGCACATTCGTACCGGAAGATCTAGTACGAACGTTTTTGAGTGTTTGGTTGTGAATCTGAGAAGAGTGCAAAGGATTCGGAAAGAGTTCGATGAGCCTAATGGTGATTACGAATGTATTTCGAGTGATGACTAGTGGTGTTGAAGTAATGCCTCTATCTTTCCACAGGGCCTCAGACTCAACACGGAGGCCTACATCAAGTGCCTTGAGTGCTGCCCTGGGTCAAAAGGGTGGCGATATATCTGGCAACAGGAATCTGCTCCATGACACACAGGCAGACGAACACATTCATGGCAGTTAGACAATTTAAGCGATCACATCACCCCTGCCATCTGGCCACCTAACTCTCCAAAGTGCAAACCCTTTGATTATTATATGTGGGGAGAAGTTGAGCGACAGACCAAGATGAACTGAAGGCAAGGATTATAACATTCATCACCTTAAATAAGGAGACTGTCCAGAAGAGTTGCAGGAGATTCCGAAGTCAGCTGGAGGCTATGGTTGAAGCCAATGGCGATTTTATTGAATAAATTTACTGTTTAGTATTTCAAGATGTTTTTAGTAAATTTGGTTAAAATGAGATGTCAGTGTTATTTTCATTTTTGCGTCATTTAGAAAATTTCACAGATGAAAGGAATAATGTCTAAAGTCACTTAATGTGCGAAAGGTTTCTTTAAAAATGTTTTCCTCGAATAACATTCATTTATTCAATATAAAATGGTCTTTTTTTCAGTTTTAAATATTAACTAGCTTAAAAGACGCCATGTCAGGTGGCATATTAGCTAGCTCCTGCGGAGGGATCTCGATTGGGCCTTCATCGCAATAGCTAGGGAGGAGTAGATGCGATAGGAAACAATAAACTACAGAAGAACTCAAAATCGATCGCTAGATTTAAGCTTACCTCTTAAAAGTTCAACGATAATTCTTCTACCGCCACTTAATTTAAAGACAATTAGATGTAGGTCCTTACTTTCCGTACAAATAGTCATTTTTCTTTCGTGGATGACTTTTCTAAGTAATTTCGATTATTCCCAAATTTATTTCCAAGTTATAAAAAATGTTATCGTACCCAAAATATTCGTCGCAAAAAAATCATGTAAAAAAAATAGTCGAAAACAATCGCAGTAATGAAAATTTGGGAATTCAAAATTTTAGGATGGCGGGTAGGATCCGGCCCAAAATCTTTGCTCAAAGATTGGGCCTGATTTCAAAATGGTATGATATGTTGGGCTATAGCCTCTAGGAGTAAAGTTGAAAAAGTGTGACACAGTGACACACTGACGTTCGAATTTATTATACAGAAGATGACATGATTTTCACCCGAAAATTTCTTCCACTTTATTATAGATTCTCCTAAAATTGTTCTTGATATATATATATATATATATATATATATATATATATATATATATAACACTAATAAACTTATAAATGCAAGCAGCTATACTCGTCCGGCAAAACCTTAGATGTTTTAGCTTGTGAATGAACAAACCAATACACAGGGGAAAAAAGCAATAAAAAAAAGAAAGAACTAAGAACATATACCTCCAGCGAAAATAAACGTCTAGAATCTAAGTTCAGAGTCCCCAAAATACAAAAAAAACTCCGACACGAGTAAAGTAAAATAACTAAACAAAGTGCTCAATACGCTAAGTAGAGCGAAATAAGTAAAGCCTGTCCGCCCTGACGATCCGCGTAAGTGAAACCTAGGTAGCTTTGTCTGGCTCTTTAGGTTTACTTATATATATATATATATATATATATATATATATATATATATATATATATATATATATATATATGTGTGTGTGTGTGTGTGTGAAATATATATATAATTATTATTTTCATTATTATTATTAATTGATTATATAGAAGACATGGATATATTTATATATATATATATGTATGTATATATATATATATATGTGTGTATGTGTGTATATATATGTGTGTGTGTGTGTGTGTGTGTGTGTGTGTGTGTGTGTGTGTGTGTGTGTGTGTGTGTGTGTGTGTGTGTGTGTGCCACACACAACCAAGATAATATTAACATAAGACACATTTTCATGAATAACACTAAAGAAGAAAAACTTAAAATGGTGGAAACCCTTGTAACACAGGGGAAGAAGCCAAAATGAATCAGAGCATCTTTCTTCATATATATCTTATATTGACGTATTTACAAAAATAAAGCTTAACCACTGTAATGACAAACAAAAGTATTTAGATTAAAAAAAATGAACTTTGGAAAATATTCCAATTATATAAAAAAATTTACTCGGAATTTTGAAAAAAGTTAATGAAATTGAACTGACTTTACTGTTCTTGTCTAACAAACTTATTTAAAAAAGAGTTCTTGCTGTCCAAATTCACCTTATATATATATATGTATTTTTATTCCTTTAAACGTTATTTTAAGTGAATAATGGTAATTATGTAGATATTTTCTTTGTTTATTAAGCTGTATATTTATTTAGTTTCGTCTGCCGGCCTGAATCGATAAGAAATCTTATTAAAGATAAACTTAAGTTCTCTGGTGATATTCGAACCTGCACCATTCAGAACAGAGATAACTAACTGCTAAAAAGGGTAACCCTGTGACCAAACTGAGTTATAAAAAAAATAAAAAAAACAATCGCTCTTGCAAGGCCGAAATCTTACCTTTAAACTTCTCTAGTCATAGATCTCCCGAAATGTTTCATATCTGTGCAGAATCGTATGCAAGCTGATGAAAAGCTGACATAATACTTACCTTCAGTTCATCTTTGGTGTTACAAAATGTTTTGCTGGTTTCTCAAGCAACTGCGCCCCGGACATAATAATTAAAGCGTTTGCAGTCTGAGGGTTTAAAGTGCTAAAAATATGCCTGATTTAATAATAATAATAATAATAATATATATATATATATATATATATATATATATATATATATTGATTGATAGATAGATAGATAGAAATGTATGTATGTATGTAATTATTATTTTTATATGATTCCATCGCGACACAGAAATTACGATGTTTCGAAACTAAACATCGCTTGACAATGAAACTTCTTTAAATTTTATGTATAATTTATACTTTAAGACTTGAGTTTCAGTTTCAAAACAGTAATTTCTGTGTCGCGATGGAATCATTTATTTTTTAAATTTAATTTTAAGCTCCACTTCTCTATTGAGCACTAATTTTAAATATATATATATATATATATATATATATATATATATATATATATAGAGAGAGAGAGAAGAAAAGAAAAAGAGAGAGGGGGAGGGAAGACATACATACTGAAAGAGATATATAATAATATAATAGATAATTACTCAGTTTAGATAAATATAACTGAAGACTACAATAAAATGACCTTTTCATGACTGGTTCTTATGCGTCAACTTATGGGCTCATATGTTTTATTTTATTTTGAAGAATTATTCTAAAAGTTTTTAAATAAAGCGTATGCAGAAATATAGATATATACTAGAATATTGAGAATAAAATGTTACAAAAATGAATCGAAAAATAGCAATAAAAACGAAAACCGGCAATTGCAAGGATTAAATGAAAAATAAAACCTGAAGTCAATTGTGGAAGTAGGGTGTTTAGAACAAACCATCTGGATACAAGATTTAGTCAGGATTATCGATTCATGTCTACATTATTCCAGCGAATAAAACGTTACCATTTTTCCTTCATTTCTTTATTTCTTCTTTGCTTCCTTTTTTTTTTATTTTCTCAATCTTTTCTTTTTTTTCTTTTCCCGTTTTTTCCCTTCATTTTCTTTCTTTTCTTTTTACTTTCCTTCCCATTCACTTTTATTCTCTTTTTTCTTTCATTCTTTATTTATTTATTTAATTCTTTATTTCTTAACCATTCACTTTTTTATCGTTCATTTTTTTTCCTATTCACTTTTCATTCTTTCTTTCTTTATTCTTTCTTTCCAATTCACTTTTATTTTATTCTTTCTTTCTGTCTTCCTTTCTTTCTTTTTCCTTTCTTTTTTCTTTTTTTACTTTCTTCCTTTCTTTCTCATTCACTTTCATTTTATTCTTTCTTTCTTTACTTTTTAGTTTTTTTTCTTTTTCTCCCATTCATTGTTAGATGATTCTTTCTTTATTTCTCAGTAACTTTTCTTTCTTTCTTTCTTTCTTTCTTTCTTTCTTTCTTTCTTTCTTTCTTTCTTTCTTTCCCATTCACTTTTATTTTATCCTTTCTTTTTTCTGTATTTCTTTAATTCTTTATTTCTTTACCATCACATTTATTACTTTCATTCTTTTTCCCTATTCCCTGTCCATTCTTTCTTTCTTTATTATTTCTTTCTATTCCATTTTTAATTTCAATCTTTCTTTCTTTCTTTTCTTCTTTCTTTCTTTCGCATTCACTTTCATTTCTTTCTTTCTTTACCATTTAATTTTTTCATTCTTTCTTTGTTTCTTATTTTCTTTCTTTCTTTCTTTCTTTCTTTCTTTCTTTCTTTCTTTCCTTCTTTCTTTCTTTTCTTCTTTCTTTCTTTCGCATTCACTTTCATTTCTTTCTTTCTTTACCATTTACTTTTTTCATTCTTTCTTTGTTTCTTATTTTCTTTCTTTCTTTCTTTCTTTCTTTCTTTCTTTCTTTCTTTCTTTCTTTCTTGTTCATTTTATATCATTCTTTCTTTCTCATTAATTTTTCTTTCTTTCTTTCTTTCTTTCTTTCTTTCTTTCTTTCTTTCTTAATCACAAGTTTCTTATTTCCTTTCTTTTTATTTCTCTTTTTTTTACTTTTTCGTTAATTCTTTTTACTTATTTTCTGTTTAATTTTATTTTCGTTCTTTCTTACCTTTGTCCTACCTGCTTTTTATTTACTGACCGCCCCCACCCACTAGCAAAATTTGGCTCAAGGCCAGTGATTTAATGCAAGAAACCTGACTACGTTCCTAGTACGAGCCAAAATTCTAACTTGCATTTTTCCCGAGTGATTTGTAGGAGACATCAGGATGTGCCCTTGAACATTAGTGCCAAGGGGGGTGATGACTTGTAGACTGATTAATTCTCAAGAGGCTTCAATTAATTTTAGCATGCATCACCGAAAAACGAAGCTCTGCGCATGACCGGAAACAAAAACAGCCATTCTACAAGAAGTGAGTGCGTATGTTAATGATGTTTTTGCTAAGACAACAATATCAGAAAGCATCTACTTTTTATTTATTGTCCAGTGAAACAATATTGGCATCTAATACCTTATATACTCGAAGAAAAATGAAATTACGCTGTTATTGATGTTGTCTTTCTATAGTGATTTTCAAATCATAGCTTAGACGTGGCACAAGGCTGAAAGTAGGGGGCACCCAGTAAGGATCGAACTCACTACTCAGTTGTAATTGTTCTAGCGAGACAAGCTCGCTAACCATTACACCGGCTCTAGCAGCATCGAAATCGACCCAAGAGAGAAGGTCGTACATGCGACGGTGGCGCGACTTGTACTATAGTACTGAAAGTACATGCCATGAAAAGTGGGTACCTCTAGGTGGTGGAATGGTTAGCAAGTTTGTCTCGCTAAAACGGTTAAGACTAAGTAGTGAGTTCGATCCTCACTGGGTGCCCCTTACTTTTGGCCTTGTGCCACATCCACGTGACGCTTGGAAACTCACTACACGTCATGAAAAGAATGTGTATTGGTTTCCCGTTGACTTCTCTACAGTTTGAAATTCAGAGTTTTCATTCTCTTAGAATGACACCGTCAAAGACAAGAGGGTTCTATCTACCCTACTATTTAACCCATAGCCTGGGTAAGAAAAGAGAGATTCACGCCATTTGACAAAGGCACTTGTGCGAAACTAAATTCAACAGACGAACCCCGGATTTGAACTCGGCTCAACTATTCTACTTCAATATCCGTCACTCTAAGCGAACATCTTTGATTAGATTTCTCTTGATGGCATGCTCGCTGGTATCTCTCTCTCTTTCTCTTTCTCTTTCTCTCTCTCGATGATAAATGTTTTTGGCGGGAACGGGTTATTTGAAGAGGCGTATGTATGCGTTTTATTAGTGTCTGTCTTTTGTGTTGGATGCTTATTATATCTTCCCTTCCATTTTGAGAGTGGTTGTGATCTTTACAAAAGCGTGTCTTCTCTTAAAACGCCTAGGTCAATTCTGTTTAGAAAGGGAACAAATAACATCCGACTGGTCAGGTCCAATATTAATTGATAGATTATCCCAATTTGCCAGCACATCTGTCCACCATTTGGTTCATAAATTCCTCGCTCTACGGCTGCCTTCAAACTTTGGAACTTAAGAGATGTCTGGCATTACAAAGCCACGTAGCAAAAATATTCATCCGATCTAAAATAAAACCACACACACACACACACACACACACACACACATATATATATATATATATATATATATATATATATATATATATATATAATGAAATGGACAAAGTCCGATAATTATTTTAAGATATTTTTATGTTTATAGATTCTTTTTATAGATACAAATATTTAAGTAAATGCTCTGTTTATAACAAACAGTATTAACAACATTACCGGCCTGAATGTACGTGAGAAAATCATGGAAGATTGTAGTTTAAAAACAGTAAAATCGACCTTGCTAACCGAAACGCTCCTCTGTGGCTCAATCGGTAAAAGCACGTCAGGCTATATGACGGTTCCGTATAGGATACAAGTTCGATTCCTGTCGTAGGACGAATATTTTAAATGTAAATGTTGTTAATACTGTTTATTATAACCAGGGCATTTACTTAAATATTTGTATCTATAAAAAGAATGTATAAACATGAAAATATCTTAAAGTAATTGTCGAACTTTGTCCATTCCATAATGTGTGACGTCATTTGTTTACATTTGGATAGCATTGAGCAGATATGAATGTACGTGAGAGAATCATGAAAAATTGTCATTTAAAGACAGTAAATTCGGCCTTGCTAACCGAACGATCCTCTGTGGCCAAATCGGTTAACGCACTTCAGGCTATATGAGGGTTCCGTATAGGATACAGGTTCGATTCCTGTCGTAGGACGAATATTTTCTATGTAAATTTCTCGGACATTCAGGCCAGTAAATGTTGTTAATACTGTTTATTATAAACAGAGCATTTGCTTAAATATTTGTATCTATAAAAGAATGTATAAACATAAAAATGTCTTAAAATAATTGTCGGACTTGAATCTGATACCTTGGTTTCAAATCTCAGGTAACCTCTGGCAATTTTTTTTATCAAATGACTACCTAACGCTTTTTTTTTTCATTTAAAAAGAATAAAACTAAAGAACGCTACAAAAAAGGAAAGACCTTTTATTAGACGTCTCATCAGGTAGGGAATCACAGTGTTACTTGTTTAACAACACCGTGATTCCCAACTTGATGAGACGCTTAAAACATGGTTTCCATTTTTTGAATTTGAAACAAAAATGTACAATTTTGTAGTGGATATGTGCGTGTTCTAATGTTTTAAAATTACTGTTTTGGACGCTGTAATCTTACTCTTCGTTTTTCTACACTTTGATATATATATATATATATATATATATATATATATATATATATATATATATATATATATATATATATATTTATTTAAGCAACAGAAGATATTTTATATATAGTGCTCAAGATTAAAAATATTAAAATAATATCAATAGGGCATTAATGATATTATATGAAAAGATTACTTAACTTTTAAATATCAATTTTATCTCGACATTGATGTTTCTTGGTTAAATTTCCAGTCTTCAGGGGTTGACGTTTAATGACGGGATAAAAATTGATATTTAAAAGTTAAGTAATCTTTTCATATATATATATATATATATATATATATATATATATATATATATATATATGAAAAGATTACTTAACTTTTAAATATCAATATGGTATAGTAAGGTAGTTTTCAGGTATGTTATATTTATGAGAGAAAGTGCTCGATGTCAGCAATAGACCGTATGTAGATATAAAGCCTGAAACAGACTGTCGCCGCTGGGTGCTGACCTCAATGGCCACTAGTCATGATAGACTTTATTATATAACAAGCTGGGTAAGTTATGGTTGATGTAGTAGTAATCCTGATTAATATTATTTGAGTGTTGTTAAAGTAATTACCCCGTTGCTATATGTACTTGATGCGTAAGAGGAATCCTTTTCTCTTTTTATATTGAAAACGAAATGAATTAAATGTACAACAATAATATAAACAATAAAAACTTGAGACACGTGTTTGACATAAATAGCAAGAATTTGTATTTTCTTTTTATGAATTACAGAATATTGGTATCGTGTGGATAAAATGTTCTCATTGTGTCTTTGTTTAAAAGTCAGTGCTTACTTGGTTTGGGCCCGAAAATTTAGTTTGTGAGGAAGGCGTTTGATATGGTCTGGTTCCGAGAATTTCGTTTGTGAGGATGGCGTTTGACATCGTATGGTTTCGATCTTTCCGTAGAGCTGGCAAAGACGCGAGTCTCTGTACTATTACTACTTATCTACTGATCTACTTCTATAGGGGACCCTAGTCTACTGTTCTCTACTCTACTCTATTGACACTCTTGTGGTGGAAGGGTCGTTTTTATAATGATCATGGTTAGGGTAATAAAATATCCTTCTTTCTATCATCACTGATGACAAGGTTATTTTTAGAATGATGAAATATCCTTAATTTTCTTTATTACCACTGATGGCAAGCTTATTTTTAAGATGATGAGATATCATCATTCTAGACTATAACAATTACAATTCTACAATTTCTATTACCCTTGTAAGGAATGCACACTCACTTATTCAGATTTATCGTAAGCCCATATCAGCCCAGCTCAATTTCGTATCCAAAACGTAAACAAAAGAAATTTCTAGAAAGGCGGACGCAGGTTCGAACTATGCTGGGGAACTACTTTAAAGATGCAGTCCGATATACGTAATACAGACTGCTTGACAAAAAAAGTCTACTCGCACACTTTATATATATATATATATATATATATATATATATATATATATATATATTTGATTTGTAACCTGTAGTCGATATTAAATTTGTCAAATTTTCTCAATTACAAGCGGCCCTTTAAGTAAACGCAATTTTACTTTCCTTCGTCCCATCTCTCTCCCCCACCTCTTATTTCCCTCCCTCTTATTCTGACATTAAATTGTCTATGGTGTGTGTATGTCACCACGAAATGTATCTTTATGCATTAGACATCCGTCAACATTCATTCTTTTCTCTTATTTAAACCCCTTCCACTCACCTCTCCTAAAATTCTCTCTGTTAAGGTTTAATCCCTCCTCCCAATACTTACACTCTCTCTAAATTCTGTTTTTATTTCCAGAGTTGGGTTTTTTCTGTTTTCTTTTTGAATTTGTAGGTCTGATGAATTGGATCGTATTTACGATTCCAGTGGAATAAATTATGACCATGGAATATTAGTGTTTAAGCCTTTTTTATTATATCCTTACTCTGTCCTAGACATTGAGTTCTACCTGGATTCTTCCTCTTGGAATTTTTTTCTGAAAATATACATGTATGGGTATTTACATATTTTGCATATGTATGTATGGGTATTTATGTATTTTGCATATATATATATATATATATATATATATATATATATATATATATAGATAGATAGATAGATAGATAGATAGATAGATATGTATATATGCATGATAAAAT